ACCCTCTGTCTTGAGTGGCACTTATGCCTTTAATTGAGGGAACGAATAGCAGCAAAAACTAGCATGTTGTAATTGTGGCCCACTGAGAATCTATCGAGGTAACCTTCATGTCTGTCAACTTGTTAAACGAATATGAACATGACCTACAAGTTTCGGATGTCAGAGTATTCCTTCTCTTAGACTGGTTGTCAAACAAGGCTGAAGAGTCTAGTCTGTCCTGTTATTTATCCAATAGCTGCAGGAAAGAAGAGATGGCTTCATACTTTTCTCAAATGTATTTGCGCGAAAGTGAATGCAACGAGCGATTTTAATTCGAACTCGGATGTTCGATCTATAGTTTCGAATAGTTAAAGATTACACCACCCGCGCATCCTAACAGTAGATAGTGAGTATGGATTCATGCGAGTTACGCCCGACCACTAGATGGAACTCATGTATACGATTCATAGGCTAACGATGCTGTAACAAAGATAGTGCTTGCGCAATAAACGCCATTTCTAAAGTATTATATATGAAAGAATGATAGTCCAATCGTTGTATATTAGTGGTACGGGCTGGATTGTTTTGTTCTGCTGATGTTAGGCAGGGACACATAAACCAGATTTAGCCTCCTTCTTCTTTATGTGCCGTGTCCCCTCAGGCCGTAGGCGATCATGGCCCTCCACATTTTCTTTCCTTTGGAGTTCTTAATAAATACTGTGTTTTCTTTATTTCTCCTAAACCCTGTTCCGCTATCCATTTACTCAAACTCTCTAAGTATATTGTCCTCTGTTCTTCCTGCTTTTAATCTGCCCTGTGAGTATCAGATTTTCCAAACCTCCTTTCTTCATTATGTGCCCTAGACATTTCAATTGTCTTTTCTTTTTCGTTATTTCTCCTAAACCCTATTCCGCCATCCATTTACTCAAGCTCCTTAAATATGTAATCCTCTGTTCTTGCTTTCGATTGTGTCCTATGAGTATCAAATTTTCCAAGCCTTTCCTCATTATGCATCTTACAAATTTCAGCTGTCTCTTCCTGATGTTAAGTATCTTTTTTGTTTTCATTTTCTCTAAAACTTGGTCGTTACTCACATAATCGGTCTTTGGCATCCTCATCATCCTTCTGTAGAACCACATTTCTGTTGCTTCAAATCTCATCTTCATCTTTGAGGAGATTGTCCAATACTCACTGTCAGACAGGAGGACAGATATCACATATTAGTTTAGTACTCTTTTCTTTGTTTCTAGTGAAGTTTTTCTTATATTTTTTGGACTTAATTTCTTAATACTCTGCTTAGCTTTTGAAATACATCTTTGGCCATCCAAAAGAGCCTTCGGATTTCAGTGTCGCACTTTGCGTCCTCTGTTAAAACACTTCCTAGATATTTAAATTTTTGTACTTGCTTCATTTTGGTATCTCCGATCTGCACTTCACACTCATCCTTTAGTTAATAACCATGCATTCTGTCTTCTTGAAGTTGATGTTTAGTCCTTTCTTCTTGATTTCCTTCACTACATTCTGTAGGAGTTTTTGTAGTTTCCCTTCTGTGTCTGCTATCAACACTGTTCCACATGCATATCTTATGTTGTTAAAATTGTAGCTGCCAATAATAAATCCTGGTATGACTTCTAATTTTCTCCGAATTGCCTCGCTGCATAGGTTGAATGTCCGGTGAGGAGACACATCCTTGTCTTACACCCCTTTCTAATTTTGTTTATCTGCTGAACTCTATCCGTATACAGGTGGTTTGCTAGCTAGTATAGCTTCTAGATTATTCTAATATTCTTTCCAAATATGTCAAGAGTTGCTGAGCAGTTCCAGTATATTTTTATTGCATACTTTATCGAACGCCTTTGTGTAATCTATAAAACACAGGTACGATTTCTTCTGCATTTGTATTGTTCTTTCTGATAACATTCTGAGCATAAATATTACATTCCTTGTTCCAGTGTCTTTGACGAACCCGTACTGTTCTTGTCCTATCTCCGGTCTAATTCTGTTGTGCGCTCTATTCATCAGAATTCGGATGATAAGTTTTGTTATATTGCTCATTAGGTTGGTTGTCTGATTGATTTTCACATTCGTTTGCTCCTGATTTCTTAGTCAAGGCTATGATAATAGATCTACTTAGGTCTTCCGATATATCACCACTGATGTAGATCTCATTTATTATTTATGTTATGCAAATTTATAAAAGATTAAATAGACTACACAGCTTCTGGAATAGCATTCCAAAGGTCATCTCTGATGGTAAATTTCCGCCTATCAATCAATTTTCAATATTCCAGCGTTGTTTAAATTTTTCCATCTTTGACGTTATTAAACGTTTCAGAAGCCTCCACACATTTTTCTCTGCTTCCAGTCAGAGGAACAAAGACTTCGCATCATCAGGTGAGTATTTTTTAGAAAATATTTTATTTAGAACTTAATTAGTTTTATTCGACAAATGTGAGGAGCATTTGTCGTAAATAAAAAAAATATATAAAAAATAATTATATAAAAAAATAATTATTATAATATTATGCTCCTGTGTATCAAGCATTTAAAAAAAAATCAAATGCTATAGTACTCTGGATTATAAATCTAACTGTTCTTCCTTTTTTATATATATATAGTCATTCATCAGTGTGGCTCGAGATACGATTGCCTCAAGCTGGGATCGAAAACCGATGGATGTGGTATCAGTCAGAGAGTTTATTCCAAAGCCATCGGCATACGGCATGCTCCATTGTAAATTTAGACGTATTTATTTTTAGACAAACACAAATGTGTATGTGTGTTTGTGTTTTGCGCATACATGTATGCGTTTATAGATGTATTGAATTATTTATGTGGATGTCATAGATATGTTAACATTATTATTATCATTATTTATTCATCTATTTATTATATATTGTTATTATTATTATGCTTAAATAAATAATGACTTAAATATATATAAATATGTGAAATATGCATATATATATATATATACACACACACACACACACACATATATATATATATATATATATATATATATATATATATATATATATGCAATTTTATATTATTTATATATTATATATGCACGGTACTTGAAAGTATTGGAAAGCGCTCAATATCAGTGATAGAGCTAACATATTAATTTCGATTGATGTGTTATATATATATATATATAAATACATTCATAAATAAATATATAAATACATACAAATTATATATATTTATATAAACATATATCTTTCTGAACGTGTTTAACATTGATATTTAAACGTGTTTAATCTGTTTAGCGCTTCCTATAGTTAAGCGTGTGCCTTCAAAAAAAAGTCAATGTCTGTTTGAACTTCGTGCGGATTCACTACTTCCCGTCAATAATTCCACCTAAAACATCAGACATTTTCGATCCGAGTGAAGTATCAATCTCAGCCATATCACATTGAAACGCCGATTCTCGTTTCACCGAATTTAAGCAACGTTGAGCCTGGTCAGTATCTACATGGGTGACCGCTGTGAAATGCCAGGTTCCGTAAGCTTGTTATGAACTCATCTCAAATGTAAGTATCTAACAAACTCCCATAGCAACCACACCCATAGAATCTAGGGGATGAATTATTTTCCGCCCTGTACGCTATTTCCCACAGACGAAACGCCGCAAGCCTATTGCTACTCAATCGCTATTTTCATGGCAAATGTTCTGATGAGCTTCTTTCTTTAGTGTCATCAACTTAAACATTTAGAGCTAAGAAACGCTCTGCTTTCTCCATGGATTTCATGAATCAGCCATCTTATACCTAAAACATCTAGCCATATTTTTCAAAAATATCTATTCTTATAATTCTTTCCTTCATTTGTAATCCTTTTTTCTTTCTTTCGTTTTTTGGTTTTTGTTTCTGATTTTCCATATAAATAAATTTTCATTCATTATTTCAGTTGCCTTTCTTTCATTATTATTTTTATCTTGCATTTCTTGCTTCTTTCTTTCAGTTATTTTTCGTTGATTTTTCACCTTCATTACTGCATTCTCCTTCTTCGTCATTCCAATTCAGTTCCGTTTTTCTTTCCTTTCTGTCTTTCTTTATTTCATTATTTTTTTATTTTTCTCTTTCCTTTCTGCCTTTCTTTATTTCATTATTTTTTTTATTTTTCTCTTTCCTTTCTGTCTTTCTTTATTTCATTAATTTTTTTTATTTTTCTCTTTCCTTTCTGCCTTTCTTTATTTCATGATTTTTTTATTTTTCTCTTTCCTTTCTGTCTTTCTTTATTTCATTAATTTTTTTTATTTTTCTCTTTCCTTTCTGTCTTTCTTTATTTCATTATTTTTTTATTTTTCTCTTTCCTTTCTGTCTTTCTTTATTTCATTATTTTTTTTATTTTTCTCTTTCCTTTCTGCTTTTTCTTATTTTCACATTTTTTTCGTTTCATTTTCTTTTTTTCTGCTCGTTTTCCTTCTTCCTTTCTTCTTTCCTTTCTTTTTTTTTACTTTTGTTCTTTCTTTCTTTCCGTTTATTTACTTCAATTTCTCTTTTTTCTTTTTCTTTTCTCTTTCTCTTTCTTTATCGCACTTCGTTTTTATTGTCTATTTTTGTTCTTTTCCTCCTTTACATTCTAATCTTCTTTGATCTCCCTTTTACCAAATTCTTTTTTTCTTTCTCTTTCACCTTCTTTCTCTCCAGCGTTCTTGTATTTTCCTGCATATTTACTTTCTCATAAAAAAATATTCTCCCCTTATTTCTTGAACCCTTCCTATACCCACCACCTCCACCCATATTCTTTAAAAATTCATTCCTTCTTATAATTCATGCGTATAATTCATTCCTTCATTTTTCCTTTCTTTCGTTTTTGGTTTTCTTTATTTTCTATATAAATAAGTTTCATTAATTATTTCATTTGCCTTTCTTTCTTTCATTTTTATTTTCATCTTGTCTCTCTTGCTTCTTTCTTTCAGCCATTTTTCTTTCATTTTTCACCTTCATTACTACATTCTCCTATTTTTTCTATCGTTCCCCACCTTTATTTAGAGAGGGTCATTTTCTACCATTTTTTTCTTTTTTCACCCACCTCCATTCCATTTTAAGATTCTTATTTTCTTCTGCATCAAAATTGACCAAAGCGACTCTAATTTAAACACGAGAAAGAGAGAATCGACAGACTGAGAAAAAAAAATATCGACGGACAGAGTGTTTTTGTTTCTTGTCTCCGGCAAGGGATGCCTTAGACCACCAGCGAATCGAGTGTATCTTCTGAAGTTATCTATCTATGCGTTGACTATTTGTTCATATCCGATGGATTAGAAAATTGATATCTGAATTGACATTGCCCGCCTTAAAGTCTCTAACCATCAGAAGGCTATCGGTCTTTCTTTTCTTTTTCTTTTTCTTTTTTTTCTCCTCACATTCATTTTAAAAGAAACGTTAAGAAATCGTAGTGTAAAATTGCACGAGACATTTATCAAATGAATCAATGGAAAAGGATGCTACTCTTTGATCTAATCCAAATAGTCGGCTATCCTTTCAGGAGTTAGATGGTACAAGCGAAAATACGTAGCAAATTTAGACAAGATCAAAAATTTCGAGCGGCTTATATTACAAGCTGTTATTTCTTCAAAATGATATTTACACATTCTAATATATATATATATATATATATATATATATATATATATATATATATATATATATATATATATATATATATATATATATATATATATATATATATATGTATGTATGTATGTATGTATGTATGTATCATTTCACCTCAAGTAAGACAATAAAGCCACTAAGGCGCAAGAGGGTTACTGAGTGTGAAAGTGTGAGAAACATGACGAACAGAAGTACTAGTAAAGACAGAGAACAATAAAAGGACAGGAATTAAGAAGACAGAAGATAACGATAATTTTTAAGATAAAAGTTGCCTGGAAAGCAAGAAGCCGGAAGAGTTCCACAAGCGAGAAGTGCGAGAGAAGCGGCTGTTAGCATATGACTGAGGGTTACATCAAACAATTTCAATTGTTAAATGATGAGACCTTACCGAAAATCTAGTAGCGCGCTTAAATTTATAAAGTCTACGCAACACTTACACACACACAAAACACGCACACACACACAGACACACACACACACACACATATACACACATATATATATATATATATATATATATATATATATATATATATATATATATATATATATATATATACACTCAGGCCGGTAAATATTGTTAATACAGTTTATTATAAACAGCATTTACTTAAATGTTTGTATCTATAGAAATAACGTATAAACAAAAACTATATTAATATATGTTGCAGTTTGTTGTGTATATATATATATATACTAGTGAGGTAGCCCAAATGACTTAACTCACTTTATAGTCTACCAATAGAAGGTTAACCAATCAGAAGACGTAGAATATTCAATCCGTCGTGTATAAAGGCGGCCATTTTGCTTACTCTCTCCGAATGTCCAGTGCCAGCTTGTCAGGCGAAGAGGAACAGAAGGAAGAACTACGCTCTGCTACTTTACCGGGATATCCACTGCTAACCTGAACTACGCTTCCCTACTGTCTTCGAAATATTCACTGCTAACCTCTGGATTCTATACTCGAAGACGACCGTCATCATGAACAACAATATAAATGTCGGACTTCGTTCATTCATTTATATATATATATATATATATATATATATATATATATATATATATATATATATATATATAAGAAGCATTTATTTTGTGCAGCCTCGTTCTTAATAGCAGTTACGAATGACGTAACTCCAGCCTATTTCAAAATGGCAGCTTCTCAAATAATAGCTACCAGGATGTAGACAAGGAAATTATGCCTACCCCACAGACACCACAATGGATCTTGATACTGACTGCGATAGTCGAAAGTACTTGAACAAAAATAACAAAATATGAATTTCAGACAGTGTATTCGCAACTTCGAGACCATTACTCAACATCTTATTCGAAACTTGGGGAAATGTAATAAAAAATTAAATAGAGTGATCGTTCAGAAGAGAAATGACATAATGGAATAATCCTAGTTGTTAAGAAAGGTCAAATTTCCAGAGATTTGGTGAATAATAATAATAATAAATATAAAAAATAGTTCCAACGAGTACGGCCTACACCTTACGAAGAGCTTTATTTATGTAAAATATGTTGTTTCTTTTAATTGCTCAGTGGATAATGTCATGATGCCATTTCTGACCTTAGGTCTCTGGAAAGAAATGAATATACACCAGAAATCAAAGTAAATAAAACAACAACAACAACAACAATAATAATAATAATAATAATAAGCCTTTGATAGTGTTCCACATTCTTGGATCCTTAAGACTTTGGAAATGTACAGACTCCCCTGTGGTATTAAATTTCCTAAAGCACAGCATGGGAATGTGGAACACCAAACTATACCTTAGTCACACCGGGGCACTGCCATATTCAACCGTCTGAATATCCGACGTGGAATCTTTCAAGGAGACTCTCTGTCACCCCTTCTGTTTTGTTTATCCTTAATCCCTCTTACACGTGAACTGAACAACAGTAGCTATGGTTACAAAATAAATAAGAAAATATTCAATCACCTACTCTACATGGATGATCTCAAACTCTTTGCCAAAGACGACAATGAGTTGAAAGGCCTCCTCAATATTGTAAAATACTTCAGTGACGACATAGGTATGGACTTCGGATTGGATAAATGTGCAAAAGTAACATTTAAGAAAGGTAGAATTACAGAAACACCCTTAATAGATTTAGATTTTGTCACAAAGATTAGGGAACTGGAGCATGATGAAGCTTATAAGTACCTAGGAATTAGCGAAGGAGATGGCATACAACACCCCCAAATGAAGGAAAAAATAAGAAAAGAGTACTACAGGCGTGTACGTCTGGTACTAAATACTGAGCTAAAGTAAAAAAAACAAAAAAAAAACAGAATATCAGCCATAAACACATTGGCTCTCCCTGTGGTGCAATACAGCTTTAATGTCCTTAACTGGACCATAGCTGAAACTAAGCGAATGGATGCCAAAAGGAGAAAGCTTCTCACTTGCTATCGCATGCATCATCCCAAAGCTGATGTTGATCGTCTGTATGTGCCCAGATCCGAAGGAGGCAGAGGATTAGTTCAACTAGAACTGTCCTACAAAACTACAACAATTGGCCTCCAAAGATACTTGGAAACTACAGAAGACTGGATGATGCTATGCGTCAAGGAACATGAAAGTAGTAAGCGTCTTTACTCCGTTATGAAAGAAGCCAACAAATTCAAAATGGAGTTTCAAATGGGCGTAGAGATGCAACTACAGCACAATACACCGGCTGAAACTGCAAAATACTTAAAAAAGACAGCAAAGACGAATGCAACCGACCAGATACAAAAGCGATGGCCAGATAAACCGCTTCATGGCCAATACTCTGCCCGTACCAAACAAGCTGACGTAGACAAAATCAGTACCCATCAGTGGCTACGTAGTGCAGGGTTGAAAGCTGAATCTGAAGGTTTCATCCTTGCTGCACAGGACCAATGCTTGTTAACTAGAAATTATCAAGCACATATACTAAAATATTGTGTCAGCCTAAAATTCAGATTCTGTGATAAATATCCAGAAACTATTGATCATCTTGTATCAGGTTGCATGATATTGTCACCCACTGAATATAAAACCCGGCATGACAGAGTGGGCCAATATCTGCACTGGAAAATCTGCAACTTCTACGGGAAGGAAACTGAACACCACCCAGACCCGGTTACGGATATAGGACCTATTACAATTCTATGGGACTACACAATACACACAGATAGAACAATCAAACCCACCACCCAAACATTGTTATTAAAGACCACAAACAAAAACGGTGCCTCCTTATTGATATGGCAGTCCCTGCTGACTGCAATGTATCTTTGAAGATATTCAAAAAGCTGTCAAAATACAAGGACCTTGAAATAGAAATCCCGAAAATGTGGCATATGGGAACATCAACAATCCCTGTTGTAGTTGGAGCCCTTGGACTGGTTGGAAAAGATTGCAGTAAACTAATTGTAGGGATTCCTGGAAGTCCATGCCTCAAGGAGATACAAAAAATTGTTCTGACAAGTACAGCCCACACTTTACGAAGGGCTTTATCTATGTAATTTCTTTTTCTTTTTTTTTTTTTTTTGCCAGTGGAAAGTGTCATGCTGCCATTTCTAACCTTAGGTCCCTGGGCGGGACCCGGAAAGAAATGTGTAAACGCCAGAAATCAAAGAAAATAAAAATAATAATAATAATAATAATAATAATTGAAATATCAGTCCCTGCAGAATGTAATGTATCTTCGAAGACCTTCAAAACGCTATCAAAATAGAAGGATCTTGAAGTGGAAATCTAAAAGTTGTGGCACATGAGGACATCATTAATTCCAGTTGTAGTTGGAGCCCTCGGATTGATTAGAAAAGGTTCTGATAGACACATTGAAAGGAACCCAGTTAAACGAAGCCTTAAAGAAATACAAAAAAATTATACTCACAAGTACAACTCCCACTTTACGAAGGGCTTTATGTATGTAAAATATGTTTTTTTACTTTTTTAGTTGCTCGGTGGAAAATGTCATGATGTCATTTTTGAGCTTATCATTTTTGATTGTACTACCAACAATTAACAGAAAAGAACATTAACAAGATATATGGTAGCCTTTCTTTCGAAGACATTAAGAAATGTATTGATTTGAATACTTCATCTACTTAGAATGCTATTATCAATGTAAAGATAGCTAAAAACACTGTACACGTTAAGTATTACTTAACATCAGAATGTATATATTGAGTACTTTGGGTAAAAACACAGTTTTAAGTATTTTACTAAACAGAAGGCTTTTTTAAAAAAAACATGTATGTCAAGCTTCAAGTTAGAGAATAGGCGAAAGCGGACAATTAGCGCCTCATAACCAGCTGCTTCGGGCAGATGGAGCTCGACAGTCCAGGAAGGCAGTCCCTCTGGGAAAAGAAAAACCCTTGTTTTAAACCTCTGCTTCCTTGTGTTCATATCCAAACACGAAAAAGGCAATGGAAGTAAATCTAGACAGAAAATCGAGAGTAGAGACCTGAAAGCGGTTGGCTGTCAACACTGACAACTCTCCATATACCGTCACCCAGGTCTGCACCCTGGAAGGGTCACTTCAGACTCACTGTCAAAGGACTGAATTTTGACCAAATTTGACCCACGAGATAAACAGAGGCCATAAAGCAAAAGAAGATAATACAGTGTAACCCGGATATAAGAGAAACCCGGATAAAAGAGAAACCCGGATATAAGAGAAACCCGGATATAAGAGAAACTCGGATATAAGAGAGATTTTCTCTGGTCCCAAATTAGAGCCTGTGTTAATGTATACATATAGACCAAACCCGGATATAAGAGAAACCCGGATATAAGAGAGATTTTCTCTGGTCCCAAATTAGAGCCTGTGTTAATGTATACATATAGACCAAACCCGGATATAAGAGAAACCCGGATATAAGAGAGATTTTCTCTGGTCCCAAATTAGAGCCTGTGTTAATGTAAACCCGGATATAAGAGAAACATATAGAGAGATTTTCTGATCCCAAACCCTGGATATAACATATAAAAACCCGGATATAAGAGAAACCCGATATAAGATTTTCTCTGATCCCAAATTAGAGCCTGTGTTAATGTATACATATAGACCAAACCCGGATATAAGAGAAACCCGGATATAAGAGACTTCTTCTCCGGTCCCGACAACTCTCTTATATCCGGGTTACACTGTAATAATAATAATAATAATAATAATAATAATTTCTTAAAATACATCTATTGGATGTTTTGGTACGCATCATCAATGATGTTACTAGCTGAGTTTCATTAGGATTTCCAGGTCTTTCAACAATATACTCCCTCTCTGCAGTGACCCAGTCAATACTGATTTGGTATCGACTTGTGTGCCATCCGTCAGCTACAATTTTCTCCATTTTCCCAATTACACACTGCGACTCCTCTTGCCAGTCTATAGTACAATCACGGATAACATCCGGTTCACTGGCAATCTCCGCTCTTCCATAAAAAAGCAAGCTAACTAACGGTTTCGAACTGGTAAGAAACATGGTGACACACTCGGCTTGAAGGGGTAGGTAGCTATTTGTTTCCCACACTGAGATATATACATGCACACACTTCATGTTAATAATCCAACCGAAAAAAAAAACTCCCCCTGTGTCCACTGCGCATACACATGTACCGATATACGTACATATATATACATATATATATATATATATATATATATATATATATATATACACATCTACACAACCGTAACACCGGTAGGGGGCAAACAGGTACTAGATCTTGGCCGCAGATCATCTGTAGGTAACAATGGTTCGGGGTACCCTAATTCTATCCCCTAGTCGAGATTCTATTGTCGGGTGCTGTTTTAGGTCATACCCAAGACCTACCTTCCAGTTCCTTCGAGGAAAATAATAATAATAATAATAATATCAACCTCCCCTTCATTTCCTTACTGACTGCCAATCCCTTGATCTTTTAAGCCATAACCATCTAGAAGTTATTTCTGGTTTCATTGTTATTGAGCGAATAGTCTTGTTCTTTTCCAAACCTGTTACACCTAATTTTGGCAACATCTTACATAGTGACCTTCCATAATAATAATAATAATAATAATCCTCATGATAGACCGAGGATTGAACTCGGCTCCCTGAATGGACAAAGCAGGACATTAAAAGAAAGTCTCTAAATAAAAATTATACCACTATTTACATTATTCGGACTATTGTCCTCATCTTTCTTGCCATATTTATCACAACGTTTCGGCTGTTGTACGCTCCGGCATTTTTCAGGTGGTTAGAATGTCGAACTGAACCCTTTATTTCGCTCACTGAGATAGACTGTTCTAGTTCCACGTGCCATGTCTAATGGATGTCAGTTATCAGTTATCTCCTGTTAATTCACCTCTCCAAGTTCTCCACTGCCTTAACCAGGTATTGAACTCACAGCTCTTTGGGTCCTGTCACTGGATCTAACCAACGCTATGTCATCTACTGTGTCATCTGTCCTTAAGGCCGAGACGAGGACGATAGTGCGAATAATGTAAATAGTGTAGAAATATACCTCTGTTCCAAAATCCCAGGTAAGGGCTAATATCAGAGTAAACTAGATTCTTCTCGCCTTGATTGGTGTACGGGTCCAAGAGAAGGACCCCTCTGAATCTAAAACCGGTGGAGTTGACAAATTCTTGATGTCTCAGAGTAAGGTAAGCATTTATCCAATTAAGGACACATAGCACAGTGGATAAAGGCGTTGGTCAGGGACAGGATCCAAAGAGTTGTGAGTTCAATACCTGGTTAAGGCAGTGGAAAACTTGGGGAGGTGAAGTAACAGGAGATAACTGATAACTGACATTCATTAAACATGGCATGTGGAACTAGAACAGTCTACCCCAGCGAGCGAAATAAAGGGTTCAGTTCAACATTCCAACCACCTGAAGAAGGCCGGAGCGTACAACGGCCGAAACGTTGTGATAAATATGATAACAAAGATGAGGACAATAGTCTGAATAATGTAAATAGTGTACATAATACCTCATCTCAGAAATATAGACAGATACCAAAACTCATGTCGTCGGCTCAAGTTTCTAATAACCCTTTTTATTAAAAACTGATTTTAAAAAAATATGGTGGAGTGGTTTTCCGTTGTCTTCATCTGGGCTTAGAATTAAGACTTTTCCATCTCTTAGAATGGTAGTGACACAGGACTAGAGAGCCCAGTTACACTGCTATTTAATCCATAGATGGGGGTGGGAGAAAAGGACGTTTGTGCAAAATGCACATACTACCAAATTCTTTTTTTTGCACATACCTAATAGATAGATAGATAGATAGATAGATAGATAGATAGATATACTTTAATTTAATTCAATTTAATTCAAATAATTATATTGAAGTTTTCGGCTCTTGTTTTGAAACATGAGAACTCTTATGTAGCGTTGGAATCATATTTTTAAATAAATAATTATATTTATGCTCTACTCTTGTATCGAGCACTATTTTTTAAAAAAATAATAACAAAAATATTAAAGAACTTTGGATTATTTACCTAACGAGTTCTTTCCTATTTTCTATATATTTTACATACACACACACACACACACACACATATATATATATATATATTTATATATATATATATATATATATATATATTGTCATCAGCACTGTTTTTTACTCTGATATTATTTGCTTTTAAATAAGACACTGCCTTTCCTTACTCGAAATCTTAGTTTTCTTTTCTTGGCTTGTGTCACTTCAGCATGGATAATTGTAATTTTTAGCGAAGACCTGCAGTTCAAAATTGCTAGAGCTACTTTACAGCGATTATCTCCGTCATAATCACTATTACTATCGCCACCACCACCACCACCACCACAACAACGGCTATTAAGCTGGTCTGTGCTACTAATGCCACCACCACCTTTACCGGCCTCTCTGCATACCATCGTTTCGCTCATTCTATCAGGCCACCCAACTGGTCAGCTACTTGTCCGATAACGCCACTCCATACACCCACCATAGTCTTTCAAGAGACGGCTAAGCTGATCACTGTCCGTCAGTCTCTAGTTGCGTGTTGCCTGGGTGATTAGGTGATATTTTTCAGATCTATGGAAGCTCTTAACCGCTATAATATAAGTTATTTCTTCTTTTATGTGCCGTGTCTCTTCAGGAAGCAGACGATCATGGCCCTCCACATCTTCCTGTCCCTTGTAGCTCTTAATAAGTTTTGTCTTTTTGTTATTTCTCCCAAACCCTGTTCTAACATCCAAGCTCATCAAGTATGTTATACGCTGCTTTCCTCTATATCTCTTTCCCTGTATCTGTCCTGTGAGTATCAGATTTTCCAAGCCTTCCTACCTCATTACGTGCCCCGGAAATTTCAACTGCCTCTTCCTCATGTTAAGTATAAGTTTCCTTTATGTTTTCCAGTTGCCAAACTTCAAGTTATACCCGAGGAGTCTTACACAGTAATGAGGGTCCATACCAGCCATGCAGTTAGCAATTATTCAAAAGTTTTAGCATGTTCAGAATACACTGGGGTTTTTTCTAGATTTGGAATAACTGTAACTGCTGTCGCTTCTGGCAATTAGGACATATTACTCACCAGAATCGAACCTCAGTGATATTGTACCGCGACATTCCTTATTGTACTGTTCTTTCCAACATCCTATTTCATTAAAACGTTCTTGCTTTCACAGCTTCTATTCTGTGACGTCCTGGGCATGACGATAAACTACATCCGTGTCCTGGATATGACGATAAACTACACCCGCGTCCTGGGTATGACGATAAAGTGCATCCGCGTCCTGGGTGTGACGATAAACAACATTCGCGTCCTGGGTATGTCGATAAACTACATCCGCGTCCTGGGTGTGACGATAAACAACATTCGCGTCCTGGGTATGACGATAAACTACATCCGCGTCCTGGGTATGACGATAAACAACATTCGCGTCCTGGGTATGACGATAAACTACACCCGCGTCCTGGGTATGACGATAAAGGGCATCCGCGTTCTGGGTATGACGATAAACAACATTCCCTGTGCCCTGGGTATGACGATAAATCCACTTCCTAGGTCTGCGTCCTGGGTCCTGGGTATGACGATAAACTACATCCGTGTCCCGATCCGATAAACTTCCAACAGCATCCCCAAACCCAGATCTTGTCCTGGGTATGACGATAAACTACATCTGCGTCCTGGGTATGACGATAAACTACATCCGCGTCCTGGGTATGTCCGTCCTGGGTATGACGATAAACTACGTCCTGGGTATGACGATAAACATCCCCAAAAACCCAGATCCCAGATCTTGTCCTGGGTATGACGATAAACTACATCCGCGTCCTGGGTATGACGATAAGGTACATCCGCGTCCTGGGTATGACGATAAACTACATCCGCGTCCTGGGTATAACGATAAACTACATCTGCGTCCTGGGGTATGACGATAAACTTCGTCCAACAGCAAGGCCTCTGATAATACGTTTTTGAAAAAAAAATAATGTTGCCAGCTATACGTTTTTTTAAAAATATAATCAGCTATACTTTTTTTTTTTTTTTTTTTTGAAAGAATAGTGTTGCCGGCCATATAGTTTTTGAAAAATAATATTACCAGCTATATGTTTTTTGAAAAAAATAATATTACCAGCTATACGCTTTTGAAAAAATAATATTACCAGCTATACGTTTTTGAAGAAATATTATTATCAGCTTTACGTTTTGGAAAAATAATATTACCAGCTATACATTTGAGGAAAAAAATATTATCAAAAAAAAAAAAAAAAAAAGTTGTCGGCATGAAATGACCCATTGAGGTTGATGTGCCGTAAAACAAAACAAACCAAACCAACCATCTATTCTGTGACAAGACTTAATGTAAGTAAAAAAAAAAATCATGCCGTCCTCTCATTATTGACTTACGTTTATACAAGCCGAACACTACGTCAATTTTCGCTTTTTTTTTTTCGCCATTGGGTATAATCAGTAGTAAGATTAGAGTAAACCCTTTTTTTTACAATAATGTTCATCCTATACAAGACCCAAGAGCCACTCGATGTAGAGGGTTAGAAAATAAGTGGTAAGAGCCCCAATTTATGAGGATATGTGGAGAAGATAACAGTTAACCCTCGACTTGAACAGGTTAAGATTGTAGTGATCGGGGAAGCATTCTCTTGGGAGCCAGTTCCACAAAGTAGCAGTTCGTGAAAAGAAGCTGCGAGTTGATTTTATATCTCATCAATGGAATGCGAAGGGAAATTATGGTATTTCACTAAAATGTACATCGGATCGTTTGGTGTTAGCTGTGAAGGTTGGAACTGGTAGGCCTATGGAATGTTGTTCATCGAAACATTTTCCATGGAAATAGAAATAGAGTAACCAGCGGTTTGTAACGTTTCGTCCGTGGGAAAGCGGTTGCAAAGTGGAAAATAATTTGTCACCCACAAGGCCGCGTAGACGCTTTTGAACTCGAAATAAAGACTGGGTAGCTACTTCCCAGATCTAGCAGCAGTACTCATTTTCGGCCAGATCTGGCTCTTGTAAAGGTAGAGGGTGTCAGGAGGAGTCAGGTACTTACTAGAGCGGTAAAGGAAACTCACTATTTTTCACCAGTAGCAAGGGATCGTATCTACGCGTTCTACTTGCAGTCAGAGTTGAGCGTAATTCCCAATCGGTGTTCAAGGTATGGGGTCTCCCTGAGAGAACAACCATTCATCGTGAAGTAGCATTTATTTATTCTAAGATGACACAAGAGAGACGAGTGAGTAGTCTTTCGCTGTTTGCTATCTACACAGTTTATTACCGATCGTAGACTGACGTCCCGGAATTTGTGATAAAAACCAGGAGAAAAGATGATGAAAGAAATACAAGTTGAAAGTTAATAATTACACCGTGTAACACGATTTTTGTCCTTGAGTAGCAAATGCTATTTCCTATGAAACATGGCATACATTTCCTTCAGATTATGCTTTTGTGGCCAGGATAATGATATTTTTGGAATTAACCTATTCCCATTGGGAAAACTGGCGAATGTGAATATTCCCAGTCATGCAGAGTAAGGACAAAACGACATATGATTCCAAAGTAGAATTTACTTATTCCTGGATGACACAAGAGAGGGCAGTGAGTGGTTTTTTGCGATTTACGGTTATATTGTAAAAATATTTTTACGAATCAGCCCCCAAATATAGTAATCCTATCATGTTTTCGTTATACGTTCCTTGGTAAGAACGTTCTAGAAATTCTTGAAACTATTAGAAACTTCTCGGAAGTTCTTGAAACTTCTAGAAAGTTCTAGAAAAGATTCCTTCAGATACCCAACGCTTAATCTGTCTGGAATATAATGGAAAACGGGTTAATTTAAAAAAAATAATGTCCATGTCACAAAAGCCAAGTTTGAAGGGGATAATAGTTATTTCAGTGCACGCTTAGTGATTAGTAGAACGTCATTAGTTTGTTTCCTGGCAGAGAATGGGACCAACCGGTTTTTGTCTCTCTGAGTTGTTAGAGCTAGCTCAGAGCAGAAATCAGCTACACATCTCTGGTCATTTAGAATTTTAGAGGTGCAACCATATACCATTGTAGCATCAGCATAGACGTCCACAAAAGATCGGAGTATACTCTTTAGGCTGAACTTAATGGCTATGTTCTCACCATTAATTTGCGTCCTTGGGTAGCAATTGTTATTTCTTATTTTCTTACACCTACAAAGTATGAAAAATGACTATTTCCCCCAAACCTTGCTTTTGGGCCCAGGATAATGATATTTATGAAATTGACCCATTCCCTTTGGGAAAACTGGCGAATGTGAACATTCTCGGTCATGCAAAGTAGGAACAAAACGACATATGATTCCAAAGTAGAATTTACTTATTCTTGGATGACACAAGACAAGCCAATGATTTACGCTTATATTGTAAATTATTTTTACGAATCAGCCCCCAAATATAGTAATCTTATCATGTTTTAGTTATATGTTCCTTCGTAGCCAGAAGGCTCTAGAAATTCTTAAAACTATTAGAAACTTCCCGGAAGTTGTTAAAAGTTCTAGAAAATTTTCCTTCAGCAACTCAGTGCTGAATCTGTCTGAAATGAAATAGAAAACAGGTTAGTTTTAAAAAAAAAAAGGAAAAAAAAACAATGTTCAGCTCACAAAAGCAAAGTTTGAAGGGAATAATAGTGATTTCCTTTGCTTTTTAGACATAAACAATTAGGAAATAATATTTACTGATCAAAGACAAAAAGAAAGTCAAAAATTTTGTTACATATTGTAATTCTTGCTTTTCAGCCATTGAATGACCCAATGAGATCAGCTTCCCTCTCAATATCATAGAATTGCTTTCTTTGTTTTCTTTATAGAACCATCTGCATTGGAAACTGCCCACAGAGAATAGCTCGTCACTTAAACCATATCCAGCTTGCCATTCTGTGCCGTCAAGTGCATTCAGTGAAAATATACATTCATCTGCTTTCCTTACGATTTTACTGTCAGCGTCATATTTGACGTTGTTTGTTTGGGGATACATCGAAAAGATTTTAGCTTCACTTTCTTAACTGGGCCATAGAAAGCGAATTTATTTTTTCTAGATAATTTTGCACGTCACTTGAATACTTCTTCGGTTTTACCTCTAGGTTTCAACGAGCCTCTGCTAATGCTAGGCGGCTTTGCGACATCATGGGAAATACAAGATCATTCGATACGTTAGCAAATGGATTGATAAATTGAGTCATAAATAATTTCCGTTTTCGTATCAATTTTATTATTAAAAAAAAACATGAATACAATTACATTTTAATTCGATTATATATTCCCAATTATTTATAATAACTTGTTACTAAGTCACACGGCTTATGGTCCTATCACGTTGCAACACCGGTTCCCGTACGATCACCGAAGTTAAGCAACATTAATCCTGGTCAGTATCTAGATGGGTGACCGCTTGGGAATGCCAAGTGGTGTAAGCTTGGATGTGAGTGCTCAAATGAATAATGAATGTAAGGTCGGATGTGAGGGTAATGAAATGGATAATGGCTCGGAATTCATAATTGGAGAGCCGAGTTCCATTTCACGTGGGGTTGGTTATATTCGCTTAAGCGTAAGTAACCTTGGAAGAGATATGAATCCACTTCTTCTTCCCTCGGCTATGGGTTAATTAGTAGGGTTTGTATCGCTAAACTTTTATTATCTCGAAAAGTAATTTACAAAATGAAAGTGTTTTCTGGCTTTAAATAAGCCGGATAGTGCTGATAAACTGTTAAAAGTGCAATCAATTTTCAGTAAAGTTCCGGGGTTTTTAATGTGGAAATGTTTTCGACGATCTCATGAATCTGGTTTACATTTCAAAAAGGTTTCTCCGTCAAAGCATTTTGCTCCAATCGTAAAAAAAGCAATAATCGGTTGGCGCTAAGTGAAGTGCGTATGGTCGCTGAAGTTGAACCATGTTCCAAAACTTTATCCTGTGTTTTTCTCACTATAAACGGTCTTGCTTTGACAAGGAAGAGATCATTTCCTTAAATCCGCTGTGTACGCTGCTACATTTCTTGTTTATTTATTTATTTATTTGTTTATATATATATATATATATGTATATAGATAGATAGATAGATAGATAGATAGATAGATAGATATTTTCAAAAACTAGCTTATATAAGTCTACTTTTTGGGTGTGTCTGATAAACAACTGATTTCAAATGGCCCCACAGAAAAAAAATCCAAGTGTTTGATATCTGGGGATTTCCGTGGCCCCTCAACAGGACTTCTTAAACCTATTCAATAACCCCCATGGTACGCGACTTTTGCCCCACCCTGTATATATAGGGAAAGTGGATGTAGGAACTTTTAATTTAGTGCTAATGTTTTAAACTACTTATAGTCATCACTTTTAGTATGCTTATATTATTTATTTATTAATATATTATCTTAATATTTCAAAGTACACTTTAAACGTGAATTATGATTTTTTGCTGTGTCTTTAAAACCCAGTAATTTTAAAAGTTACTCCAAAATTCGCTTGAGGATGAAATGGAACTAATGTTTTTAATTTAATTACAAAATTAAATTCAGAGCTTTCAGCTTCCATTTTTGAAACATGGTTAGAACTGTGTAGCGAAAAAAAACTATATTTTAAATCAATTAATTTATAATATATATATATTAAAGACATTTTTATGTTTAACATTCTTTTTATAGATAAAGTATTTAAGTAAATGCTCTGTTTATAATAAACAGTATTAAATAACATTTACCTGCCTGAATGTCCGAGAAATTTTCATAGAAAATATTCGTCCTTTGACAGGATTCGAACCGGCATCCTATACGGAACCGTCATTGAGCTTGACGTGCCTAACCATTCGGCCACAAAGGATCGAATATTATCTATGAAAATTTCTCGGACATTTAGGCCGGTAAATGTTATTTAATACTGTTTATTATAAACAGAGCATTTACTTAAATACTTGTATCTCTAAAAAGAATGTTAAACATAAAAATGTCTTTAATAAATTGTCGGACTTTGTCCATTTCTTAATGTATATATATATATATATATATAATTGCAGCGGCCTTGTGATGTCATGGAGGAGAATAACATTCGTCCTTAAATCCACTGTGTACGCTGCTATTGTCATGCAAAAACTTAGATACATTCGTGTACTCCAAATTTATTCTTAACTGTCAGGTATGATTAGTAATTAGGATGATAGCTTCTTCATTACAACTGGTTCTTAAAAACGGCAATTAGTTATGACTCAACCGAATATATAGATTATTGTTTAAATTCTCAGGTATTTCCAAAGAAGGAGACAGCATGGTTTGGTTGGTAGCGAAACGCCAGGCCTCACAGTTCTCTGCTAGGGCTGACTATTAGCAATGGTTCATGTGGCAGGCAGCAAAGGATTTTTTCAGGCAATATTTGAATCGCATCTTTGGTGCCCCTTTCCCGCGCTAGCCAATGGAGCGCTCGCCGTGAAATAAAATATTAAGCAGGCGATGTTTCTCCATCGTGGAAACTATATATATATATATATATATATATATGTGTGTGTGTGTGTGTGTGTGTATATATATATATATATATATATATATATATATATATATATATACAGACACACACACACAGATAGAGGGTACACTCCCGTGGTATAAGCTTCCAGTAACTCAGTTCTTATAACCAACAGCCAGACTACGAGAACATATGATTTCATTATCGTGATATAGGCTGGTGCAGAAATAAAATCCAAGGGTGTGATGTCTGGTGACTTCGGTGGCCCCTGAACAGGACATCTTCCACCTATACATTAACCTCCATGGTGCGCGATTTTTGACCCACCCTGTATATATAAGGAAAATGGATGTATGAACTTTTATATATATGACCCACCCTGTATATATAAGGAAAATGGATGTAGGAACTTTTATATATATGACCCACCCCGTATATATAAGGAAAATGGATGTAGGAACTTTTAGTTTAGTCCTAATGTTTTAAACTATTTATTGTCATGACTATTAGTATGCTTATGTTATTTATTTGTTATTATATTATCTTAATTTTTCAATAAATTATATATATATATATATATGTGTGTGTGTGTGTGTGTGTGTGTATATATATATATATATATATATATATATATATATATATATATATATATATAATTGCAGCAACCTTGCGATGTCATTGAGGAGAATAACATTTGTCCTTAACCCTAGAATACTAACCATGGGTATATAGTACTCAGTGCAAATTTTCCTATTTTTAATTACAATTTTCAGTACCTGATTTTTCTTATCTAAATAATATTTTTTTCAGTTCCTATTAATGTTAAGTCAAAGTATAAAATTTGAATTGCATGCATGTAAAATATTTCAAATAAAGATTTATATTTAATTTTTTTTTTTTTTTTTGATATTTTCAAAATCGGGTATGATATACCCATGGTTAGTAGTGGTGTAACTTTAATTTAGTCTTCTAGGGTTAAATTCACAGTGTACGCTGCTACTGTCGTGCAAAAACTTAGTATGATTAGTAATTAGGATAGTATATTCGTCTGAATGAAAAGTGAAAAGGAAATTACTTAATAAGTGTTTTCCAGTATATCAGTTATGGATGCCCCATCAGACCATCTCTACAAAAGCAAGAAAGCAACATCAAGTTCATATATCCAATGTTGTCAAGGCTTCTGTAGTTTTGAAGTTCTTCTCAGTCGGGATATAGTATCGAATAACAGCACCTCTGATATCTCTGATGTCAGTTCCTTCTAATGTTGGGACAACAAGTATTCTTCTGAAATTGACCTGTCAGCGTGCCCTAAACTTTTAGTGGATACAGTGGGTAAGGCCTATCCACTAAAAGCACCAACATCTGATGAGATGTTTGCAGACTCAAGTATAAACCCGACTAGTTTTTTAATATAGGGATATTGTAGATTTAGGCGTAATTGATAAATTTCACAATGAACAATAAGAAAAGGAAGAGAAAGAACAGTGTAAAGTAGCTCAAAGTAAACATATATATATATATATATATATATATATATATATATATATATATATATATATATATATATATATACTTTGGGCTCTACTTATGTATTGAGCACTGTTTTTTTAAAAGTAAGAACAAAAATGCTAAAGAACTTCGGATTATTTACCTAACGTTTTTTTTCCTATTTTTCTATATATTTGCACAAACGACACACCCCCACACACACACATATATATATGGCGTCACACATTATGAAATGGACAAAGTCCGACAATTATTTTTTTAAGACATTTTTTTATGTTTATACGTTCTTTTTTTAGATATAAATATTTAAGTAAATGCTCTGTTTATAATAAACAGTATTAAACATTTACCGGCCTGAATGTTCGATAAATTTCCATAGGAAATATGCGTTCTCCGACAGGAATCGAACCTGTATCCTATACGGAACCGTCATATAACCTGACGTGCTTTAACCGATTGGGCCACAAAGGAGCGTTCGGTTAGCAAGGTCGATTTTACTGTTTTTAAACACAATTCTCCATGATTTTCTCTCATACATTCATATCTGCTCAATGAGTATCCAAACGTAAACAAATGACGTCACACATTACGAAATGGACAAAGCCCGACAATTATTTTTTAAGACATTTATAAACATTTTTTTATAAAATGAACGTATAAACATAAAAATAGACTACCCACAATGCAATATAGTAGACTACCCACAATGCATCACTGACTTGTATATATAAATCTTTGAGCAAAAACACGACGCACATAGCCTGATGATTGCGTTTAGCATGGAACAGACTGTCGCTTCTGTGTGTTGACCTCAATGTCCACTTTTATATTTACATACGTTTCGTGCCCGGGTCTTATGGTCAGAATTCGAACGTTCTAAACACTCGGCCAAGTGTCCATCACCGCCTCTAGTAATCGTGAAAGTAAAATAACATATATCATTTTTTATTGCTTCAAAACTACCCCAAAATGTAAATTTCAGCATTAAATGACCCACAAGATGTTGATATGCCGTTAAACAAACAAAAAAATCAATCACTCTAAGCAGTCCCTGAGGCAAAAGGAAGTTTTATTGAAGAATATTTTCTGCTTACTTTCATTTTTAAGTTTGAAATGTGCAGAATTTATTTTCAAATATACTTATTTCTTTGTATTGAAAATTTTCTTTTTTTTTTTTAGATTATAATTTGTTTTGGGTTACCTGGCGCACCCTGTATATGTGAGAGAAAAAAATAAATTGTGCGTATATATGAGATTAAATATCATTAAGTGTGTTTCAGCGAATGTCAATGTTTGTGTATTGACGTTTATTTGTGTGCGTGCTCAGACGCGTCTATGTATTAACAGGACGTAAGAATAACTCATTTATTTATTGCCAGTGTCAAATTTTTCAGCACAAACGTATAGCATTGACCGATTTAAAATTTTCCATTCGCAAACATTAATGCACTAAAATACATGTAAAATACACTAATGGAGAATAAAACTACAACACCCTGAGGGACGATTCTGATATTGACCTTAGGTAGAATAGAAGGTAGAAAAACCCGATCAACATGGAAAGGACGTTAGAATAATCTAGAACTTACACTGGAAGTAAATCGCCTGCAAACGCATAGAAAATGAATTGAGTAACTAAACAAAAATACAAAGGAGCTTGAGACAAGGATGTGTCTTCTTCCCAGATTTATTCAACCTCTACAGCGAGGCTATCCTAATGGAACCCGGATGTATTTTTATGTAGGAGTAATCTTAACAATCTAAGATATGCAGACGTCACTAAGTTTATTCGCTGATATGGAAAGAAAAATACCATAACCTTCAAGACAGAGTAGTAAAAGAAAGCGAGATAAAAGGACTAACTATAAACTGCAAGGAAACAGAAAGTATGGTCATCCGTAAGAGAGAAACACACAAGATCAAATTGGAGATACAAACCTCAAGCAAGTACACAAGTTGAAATATCTGTGAAAGGTTTTAACAATGCCGCACTGAAATCCGAAGACGAATTGGATTAGAGAAAGAGACATTCCAAAAGTTAAGCGAAGTGCTGAAAAGCGGGAAAATTTCTTTGGAAACAAAGTGCAGGATTGCTATGTGATATCCATCCTCTTTTATGGTAGTGAATATTGGACAATCTCCCCCCACCCACGTATGAGAAGAAAACTGGAAGCAGCAGAAATGGGGTTCTACAGAAGGATAGTGAGAATTCCATGGACGGAGCGAGTAAGCAACGAGGAAGTCTTAAAGAAAATTGCAACGGAAGGAAAGCTTATACTCCCAATCAGAAAGTAACAGCTGAAATTCCTTGGACATGAGGAAGAGGAGGTTTTTGGGTGACATAATCCTCACATGGTATATTAAGGGTAAGAAAGACAGGGAAAGATAGCGAACAGCCTATCTGACAAGCTTGTGTGAATCGATGGCAGAACATGGGGGGGGTCAGGGCTAAAGCAAAGGGTGAATCACTGCTAAGAGCAACAGGGAATAGGAATTTTGGAGAGCCATGATCGCCATGAAGGGATGCGGTACATAGAAGAAGAAGAAGAGAAGAAGAAGAAGAAAAAGAAAAGAAAAAGAAGAACAAGAAGAAAATAAAAAGAAGAAGAAGAAAAAGAAAAAAAGAAAATAAAAAGAAGAAAAATAAGAAAATAAAAAGAAGAAAAAGAAGAAAATAAAAAGAAGAAGAAAAAAAGAAAAAAAGAAGAAAAAGAAGAAGAAAATAAAAAGAAGAAGAAAAAGAAGAAAATAAAAAGAAGAAGAAAAAGAAGAAAATAAAAAAGAAGAAGAAAAAGAAGAAAATAAAAAGAAGAAAAAGAAGAAAATAAAAAGAAGAAAAAGAAGAAAATAAAAAGAAGAAGAAGAAGAAGAAGAAAATGAAAAGAAGAAGAAGACGATGAAGGAAGAGAAGAAAATAAGAAAACAAAAAGAAGAAAATAATAATCATAATATGAAGAAGAAGAAAATAATCTCTATCTATCTAAAAAAAAGTGTGTGTGTGTGTGTGTGTGTGTGTGTGTGTGTGTGTGTGTGTGTGTGTGTGTGTGTGACGAATGCACGGCCGCAATTTTCGACGGATTTGCACCAAAATTTACACGCACATGCTCCAGATTAGCGGGAAGGTCAAGACCGACGTTGCATTTCCGAACTCCCATCGATAGTGGAAATAATCGATATTTTCATACTTCTACGGCAGTTTTCATGTAGTTTGCGACCATTTTCTACTGGCCAGAGTGAGAGCCAATAGCTGGCTGCCAGGAATAGGCAGGAAGATTCTATTGGCCAGCATGAGAGCCAACAGCTGACTGACACGAATGTTAACTAGCATGCTAGCACGCAAAAAAAAATCGATAGCTGCATTCGTCACAAGTGGGAAAAATTTAAATCTGCATGGCACTTTACTCCAATTGTCTCATTCGCTTGCTTAAACTCAACGTTGATTCTGATTCCGCAGAACTGGGTTCGGTGTGAAAAAGTATTTGTTGTTAACGTTCTTTTTTCATTCGGTTTTTCCAGTTACGAGTCCTTTTTTTAAAGCTGATCGTTTTGTGTTCATTTTGTTTAGTTCTTTTTTCATAACAGATTTAATGTTTAGTATAGAGCTTAGAAAAAATTCGCAGTATGAGATAGGCAAGAAGTAAGGCATGTAGCAACATCAGCAAGGCAAAGGGCACTCCTTTAAAGGCAAGGAAGGGCAAAAATATTTTAAGTCAAATGATAGCGATTGGTGTATGAGTTGTACGATTTTTGAATCAAGCACGGGCAACCCAGGGCCATGCTGCTAGTAATAATAATATGAAGAAGAAAATAAGAAGAAGAAGAAGAAGAAGAAAGAGAAGAAAATAATAATAAGAAGAAAAAGAATAAAGAAGAAGAAGAAGAAGAAGAAGAAGAAGAAGAAGATTAATGTGCAAGCTAAGGGTGAGTAGATAATCAAAATAAAAATTTCTAAGCCTTCAAATAAATTATGACACTTAACTCTGTGAACCCTGATCCCATGATGTGTACGGTATATGCACTTTCACACAGCAGTCGGTATACTAGTCGGGGTTCAAAAGGTTAATAACACTCGCACCGTCTGTGTCTAAACTTTGGATGCTGACGGATTCCCTATGGCGAATGGAGCAACGAAAACAGGTGTCAAGTCACAGAGGCAAACACGTGCTCTTTTTGTTGTATTCGGGCCGGTATTCGAGGAGTCGTGTTGTCAGCTTTCGAGAAGCTGGATGGACATTGCGGTGATTTTTTTTTCTTTTTAATACATCTTCACACAGTACAATTGCCAAAAGCTACTCAAGATAAAGTATTACTGAATGAAGTTGTTGTACGAAAGTTTTTGTATGCCATATATATATATATATATATATATATATATATATATATATATATATATATATATGGACTCTCCCGTCGGTTTCGACGTATGAGGATCTGACAGCTTAGTTGATTCAGTTATGAAATTTTGTGCGATAATCTTAAGTGGCATTTAAGACCCGCTAGTGATTTACAAAGGAGGCCGCATGTGGAGCAAGAGTGAGGATTGTGGGATGAGATCACTGTTAGATTGGTTGACCTTTTAGATCTTGCTCTCGCTTCTTGAAGACGATTCAGACAAGCAGATTGAGTTATATATATATATATAAAATGACAGCATAAGTACATTCAAGCATGTATGGTAGAATAATTTAGACATATTATGTCTATTTATTTTTATTTTAGTCCGTTCATATTCACGGATCTTTTTTTTTAATGTCGTAATTAAACTGATCGAGGAAGATGCTGTAGCTGTTCTTATACTTTTTTATTTTCCAAAGTACCTTTCAATCTCATCCAAGATCATCTTCAGGGGTGAATGCTCTTATATTTTTTTTATTTTCTCAAGTACCTTTCACTCTCGTCTAAGATCATCTTCAGGGGTGAATTCCTAAGACAAAGAATTAATGCAATTGACAGATATGAAGTTTTGTGCATGCGCATTAACACGCTCTGTTAATTTAAAAATGTACTGCTATGTAAGGGAGATAACTTAATTCGTATTGTAGATATCTTTATTAAAACATACGCGTTTTAAAACATTCTGTTATTATTGTAGTTTATTTTTTTTCAACAATTACGATTTAGATATTTTAAAACCTTGCTGCTATAAACATTTTAAAACTTTGTTGCTATAGCCAGAATTAATTTTATTTAGTGTTGGCTGTTATTTATTTATACAAGGTTCTTCCAGAATTTGAAATTGTTTTCTTTTTTATTTTCTCGGTGGAATATATTTGTATTGTCGATTAGTATTTCTCCAAATCGTGAATGTAGACAGAATGTTCCTTTAAATATTGTGCAATCGAACTAGAATCCGGCATATGAAGTACAATTCTTTCTCGATATATATATATATATATATATATATATATATATATATATATATATATATATATATAGTCATACGTAAAATCTTGAAGACATAAAATTTAATTCAAATGTAATAACTTCTAATGGGCTATAAACCTAAAATTTAAGTAAATATGATAAATACTTAGGTTATTATATATCGGAACAGAAGAAAGGAACTCTTTTTAATGCAAAAAAGGTACAACGCAAAAGTTTTGGCCACACATCAATAGGCTTCAATTTAATACATTGCCCTTTTTACAATGACTTCTGTTGGACGTTTCGAATAATTTGAAATAACGTTCTTGTAGAAGCTAATCCCAATGTTATCCACTTAAGATGGGTCAAGTTTTGATCTTTCGTTTGATGGACTTTAAACTCTTTGCGCAAATTTTCTATGGGATTTAGGTAAGGCAACTGATTTGACTATTGTAAAATACTTTCTATTCATTTCAATTTTCTCTCAATTTCATTGTTAATTTTCGATCTTTTTGCGTTGTGTAAAGGGCCGGTACGTACCTACTCTCGACCCCAACCCCAGATCGGGTGGGCCAAGCCAGATTAGGTGACTCGGGAAGTGCTTATCATTTGTTTTGTTTTTTGTTTTGTTTTTTTCTGCCTACATACTTTACAAATAAAACTAAGCACAACGATTGAAGGATGAAAAATTTTCGCGCATTTTCACGTCAAATCCGTGAGTTTTTGTTCATACAAAGTGTTAAATGTGTTAAAATTATTCAAATTTTTAAGAAGAAAAATCTCAGATTGACGATAAAAATTGTCGCAAAGCATCGTTGATTTCTTTAAGATGGAATGATCTATTATGACATCTAATTTGTATTTAGATACATTGTATTTATTGGCATTTTTTCTAGTTGAATTGTTCACCTATATTGCATATTTTCTAAATAAATGTGGCACAAGGCCGAAAGTATGGAGTACCCAGTGAGGACCAAACTCACTATTCACGTCTTAGTGCTCCACCTATATAACATATGATCCATTATTGTAAATTATTAGGTCACAAATAAAATGTATATATATATATATATATATATATATATATATATATATGAAGAAATATAGTCTTAAGGTGTGCTATATTTATGGGATAAAGTGCTCAATATCAGAGATAGAGCGTGTGTAAATATAAAAGTGAACATAGAAGTCAACGCTTAGAGGCGACAGTCTGTTTCATGTTATATGCAATCGTCAGGCCACGTGTGATATATATATATATATATATATATATATATATATAAATATTTCTTCTCCTGATGATGGACATTTAACTAGTCGAGTTCAAATGAAATAATAATAATAAACAGAAATATTTTTCTCCTATATGATATATATATATGTTGGCGAAACTGTGTGTGTGTGTGTGTATGTAAATGAAAATAATAATAAAATAAATACGAAAAATACTTAATATTAATGTTTTTAAACCTCACACCAATATATATATATATATATATATATAAATGTGTGTGTATATATATGTGTGTGTGTGTATAAATTTTTAAGTGTTTCAATCTAATAGTTAAATAATATATAATAAATACTTAATATATATAAAAATACTTAAATAATATATAAATTTTTAAAACGTTTCACCCCAAGCAATAAAAATACTTAAATAATATATAATAAATACTTAATATATATAAAAATGTTAAATAATATAAAATTTTAAGTTACTCAACCCCAAGCAATAAAATACTTAAATAATATATAAATTTTTTAAGCGTTTCACCCCAAGCAATAAAAATACTTAAATAATATATAATAAATACTTAATATATATAAAAATACTTAAATAATATATAAATTTTTTAAGCGTTTCACCCCAAGCAATAAAAATACTTAAATAATATATAATAAATACTTAATATATATAAAAAAATACTTAAATAATATATAAATTTTTAAGCGTTTCAATCTCAAACAATAAAAATAATATATAAAAATAATATATATAAAAATACTAAATAATATATAAATTTTTATAATAAAAAAAATAAATAATATATAATAAATACTTAAATATATGAATGCTAAATTATGAAAATTGAGATATGGTACAGTGGTGGACTCGTATTATAGATTGGGGTGTAGGAGTAGAGACCTTTGTATCGGCCCGAGTTGCCTGCGGAAAATGATCATAAAAAGAAAACTTGTAAATTAATAATTTAAATATTATTCATTTCTAGATTATAAGTTTTATTCCGTTTTATTGCTAGTTTCAAAAAGTGTCCGAAACTGTTACAAGATAGAATGATAGATAAATAGAGAGACAGAATTAATTTATTTTCGTATATGTTAAAATCCATGACATATAAGTAGATCCCAAAGTTTATGCTTATAAAGATATCTTATATACTCATTGAGTGAATGCACACAAACATTCTCTCATACATATAATCAGTCGACTATATATACATACATACATATATATATATATATATATATATATATATATATATATATATATATATATATATATATATATATGGTTGATTGATGAGTTTGTGACCCTGGGTTTCACGATTTTGCGATTGT